CGAGAGCTCCTGGAACGAGGGCCGCTGGCATCCTTGCGGAAGGCGTTCGGCGTCAGAGCGAAGAGCTCCAGGGCAGAGGCGGAGCAGTTCGCGGCAGAGCTGGGCATTGCTGCCCCCCGCCAGGTGCCCCGCTCGGAGCCCGCGGGGTTGTCCCAATGGTTTGGTCTCGCGCGCCAGCGGCTCGCGGGGGGTTGCCCCGACGGCCTGGCCCGCGGGGCTGTCCCCGACGGCTGCGCGATTTCGCCGTCGGAAGACGCGCCCTTTGCCAGGCGCGGCGGCGAGGGCGCCGAGGAAAATCTACGCGCGCGCCCCTGCCAGGAGGAAGGAAAAGTGCAGGAAGAGCACGAGCGGGGCGGCAATGAGGAGGGGAAGAAGGAGGAGGAGGAGGTGGAGGAGGGCAAGGCAAAGGCCGAGGAGGAGGAGGAGGAACATGAGGAGGAGGAGAGGGACGAAGTGGAGGAGGCGGAAGAGGAGGAGGAGGAGGAGGAGGAGGAGGAGGCGGAAGAGGAAGAGGATGAGAAATGCAACGAGTATGACAAAACACAGGAGGAGGAGAAGGAGGATAAGGAGGAAGAGGAGCAAGGAGAGGGCGGAAGGAAGCCTCCGCCAGATGAAACAGCAAAAGGCGACGGGAAAATTGAATCGATTCTCGTGCAGGGTCCTACCGACGGAGTGAATATTAGCGTTGTTGTTATGTATTGTTTTTAGCTCTCTCTCTCTCTCTCCCTCTCTCTCTCTGTCTCTCTCTCTCTCTCTCTCCCTCTCCCTGTATATATATATACACATACATACATACATACATACATACATACATACATACATACACACATACACACATACTAGAACCACGCGCGCGCCACGCGCACTTACGTTCTAGCGCAGGCCAGGGTGCCTTCATGCCACATTGGCTTAATGTCTCGACGCTTCAGTTCGAGAGATGCTGGGTCGTTGGAAACAATGGCCGTCGTGGGGCACGGAGTCTTCGTGCCGTCTTGTGTCGGGCTTCGGACGTCGCAAAGTTTTCTTGGACTGACCCTCGGGTTGTTCTGGGGGTGTTTCACAGGTGTGCTGGGCCGTACTGGCGCCGTCCAGGGTTCACCCAGGAGGTGTCTTGGGCCGCTGAGGCGCTGTCCGGCCCTGCCCGAAGGCTATCTGGAGGCCTCCAGGGTGGGGCAACAGGCGCGCCTGTCACCAGCGGGGGGCTGTGAGGTCTAGTACGGATCTGGGTGGGACGTCTCTCCGCTGGACCCCTGGGGTCGCAGAAAAGCGACGACAGTTGCGCGCCTGGCAACGCCCGGGCAGAACGAGGTCTACTTCGGATCTGCATAAGACGTCAGTCCGCTGAACCCCGAAGGGCCGAAATAAGCAGCGACCGTTGCACGCCTATCAGCGCCCAGTGCATCAGCACTGTCAGTTCTTTTTGTCTCCCGGCTCACTCTTCGCCGATCGGCGAAGAGTGAGCCGGGGGACAAAAAGAATCGGGAAGAGCAGCACGAGCAGGAGGAGAGGAAGAGGTAGTTACGGACACACGACAACCCCTGGGCTGGCGCTCAGTGCTCTAGGCGCGCGGGGCGCGCTCGAAGGCGCCCGTGACGGTCATGCCGGCCGAGGCCTCGCTCAGGAGACGCCCGCCCGGCAGGACAGCATCGGCCCGGTCGAAGCTGGGGCCCAGCCTGCCCGCGCCGTGCTCGGCGAGCGAGCGGAGCGCCAGGCGCCGCTGGGATTCGGCAGCGCTCGACACCGCCTGGGGCCACGAAGCGCACTGAGCCGTCGTCGAGCGATGCCTGCAGGAGCAGCGCGACTCCAAACAAGCGCGCAGTGTACCTCAGTCGTCCTTGCAGCTCCGGCACGTCGCACTGGCCTAGAGCATTGTCGCCGCAGATTGCCACGGTGCCGTCGCTCCTTAGCAAGACCGCGTGGAGGGCTCCCGCGACGACGCCCTTGTAGGTGAGGCCCCCCTCTAGCGCAGGCACGTCGCATTACGTGGGGTGTCCGAAAGGGGCCTTCTGGGGCTTCCCAGGGGGTCCCTTTGGGGCAGGGTGAGCCTTCCTAGGGGCTTATGGAGGGCCTCGTGAGGCTTCTTGGGGGCATCTGGATGGGCTCTGGGAGCCGCCTGGGGCTGTCGGCCAGCTGGCCCACCAGGGCTCCAACGAGGCCCGCGCGGCGTTTTCCACCAAACTGACCCGAATCCCGCGTTCGCAACCACATTTCCTGGTAACCTGTTGCGAACCCAGACTTCGGTGCATTCCCCAAGAACTACTTTCGTTCGCGTGCCCCGTTGCGACCCGCTGCAACGTGACATCCTCGGTTCGGCGTTGCTCTGTACTTTGCGGCACTGCAAGCGTGCGCGCACACGTGAAAACGTAGCCGTTGGCTCGCGTTGTTCGGCGCCTGCATGCGCCACATCTTTCATGTCTGTACTGAGTTGTTCGGATCGTGACCAAACCCTGCCTGCAGCTGTACTTTCCAGAACGCAGCTGCAGCAATCCAATCGGGCCTGCATGTCCTGTGCCAGTCATCGGGAGGCACAATCGCGGTCGGCCCTCAAACGAGATATCTTGCAACGCGCCCGTTGAGAGGAGCATCGCGAACGAAGCCGCTTCAGCAATGACCAGCTGCGCCGACGCACGGCGACCTGCAAGTCCTGCGCCGCTCGGCGGGTGGGCAGCCGCTCCAAACAAGACTTCCTCTCCTGCGCGCGCTGCGGAGAGCTCTGAAACAAGACCCACTTCGGCGCCATGCAACTCAAAACACGCAACGCGAAGCGGGCTTGCGGCGCGCGCGCCACGCCCAGTGCAAACTGCAACGCCCCCAGGCTGCCAATCCCTATCGCTAGGGCTCCGGGACTGCATCTCTAATCGCTGCGACGTCGACCCGTTCTCCACGGAATGCGCGGGATTGTGTTGTCAAGTCGGTAAGCACGCGATCGACTTCACCCAATATTTTTTGGAGCTGGGGCCAGCTCTTCTCCAAATCTACCGAAGAAAAAGTTTCAACGCCCATGCCCGGGCAGACAACAACCTTTTTTCCCGCATTCGCCGCGCATGACATTCAGCCCAGTACTTCGGAGCCGGAAACACACTTCTCCTTGCAGAAGCCATCCTTCATGAGAAACCACGGGGCGAAACGTGGACCGCCGAGGAATCCAATTCGATTCAGCACATTGCCGTTGACCCGCAGATCCAGTCGCACACGGCTGCCCGTTTGCAACTCAATCCACACATCGTCGTGCCCTGCAACTTCACGTCCTCCACGCGAACCCGTACATGACGGCCACTCACAAACTCGCCACCCTCACCGCGTCGCCCTACCTTGACAGAGTTTTGCAGCTCGACAGGGACGAAGGCACGCGGGAAGTTGCTGTTATAGTCGACTCCGTTGGTGGCGCTCGCACGTCTCCTCGATCAATGTCCTTCCGTCTCCACAAATCGGAGCAGTACGATTCAATCCCTCCACTCAGTGAGCTCTACGAACCAGTATCCTAACTTCTTCGAGGCCAACCTTCCAAGGCCACTAGGAGTGGCGCGAACGACCAACAGATGCAAAGCCTCAAGGACCAAGGTGCATGGCGCGAAGCGCCAATGCAGTCTTAAACATATATATATATATATATGATTGTGTCTGTATATCCCTCTCCCTCTCCCTCTCCCTCTCTCCCTGCCGCATGTATCTCTCCCTCTCTCTTTCCTTTTCGCTCTCCCTTTCCCTCTCCGTGCTTCGATTGTTTGTTTGTTTACATTTCTACCTCTCTGTCTCGTTCGTCATTTCTCTCTCGCTCTACCCACACCCGATATATGTAATTGCAATCTCTCGGGGATCTCTCTGCATACGTTTTGTGCTCACGCGCATGCACGGGGTCGGACCGCATGCCCTCGGTGTCACTGATGGCGTGGGCTCTGGTTTTTGTCGCCGCGTGAACCGTTCATTTTTGAACGGGTTCTCGTGGGCCTGCAATGTTGATCGCCCGCGCTACGTCCACGCCTACACAACACGGACCAAACACTGAATGTCCACGCTGCTCCTCATTGCCGCTTTTATTCGGGGGCGCGCAAACATGGATTAGCGATCCATGGATTTGGCGCGCGGTCGCCAAATCCATGGATCGGGGGAGGTGCCCTCCCCAAAATGCGGCCGGTGGCGCCTCGCTCGGCGGCGGCAATCCGCGATTCCCCATGGAAACGGGACCGTCGCTAATCCACGCCCCCTTGATCCATGTTTGCGATCGCCTGAAATGTTGAACGCCCGCGCTACGTCCACGCCTACACAGCACGGACCAAACACTGAATGTCCACGCTGCTCCTCCTTGCCGCTGTTATTCCGTTCCTCTCGCTGCTTGGCCCAACCCCCCAGCCTTAGCTGTTCTCCCCCGCCCTCCTTGAGCCCCGCACGCGTGCACCTTAGAGGGCAGACAATCCACCCCGATAATAACCACCCCGACACGCGAGGCCGCTTAGTAAACGCACCCAAAGAAGGAACCAAACAAGGCAGGGCTGTTTAATAAACGCTCAGGGCCATTTCTTAAACGCCAAGTGTCGGGTCCGGGTGGGTTCTCCTCCCTCCCTTCCTATCCCTCCCCCCAGGGGGGCAACGCCTGTCCGTCTGCTGCCAGCGTGACTTGCGCAGCATCGTGCTTGCAGATGCGGCAAGTGCAGCAGCAGTCCAGAATTGCTTGCTTGCTGAGACAGCCCCTTGGAGGACGAACGACTCTGAAACCGCAGTCAATGGAGCGCAAGCAACTATTGCGTTCACAAATTTGCAAATATGATTTGGCGCGGTCAATGTGGATGAGGCGCACCCCAGGAGAGGTTACTGCCTGCTCTCATGATGGTGCGATACACTGCCTGGCGCGACTTGTATGACAAAATGTGAAGGGATCCCTTGCAGGTTAAGAGCAACTTGGAAGCTCCCGTACCCAGGGCAAGGTCGCCATGAAGGTACGGAGGTCCTGCACAGCATAAAACCACATGTTCCTGTCAGGAGGCCCTCATGCCAGTGTTCAATTGTGTGTTTTCACATCCCCATGCACATGTGTCGATGCTGCCTTCGCAAATATGTGCGTGTGCCGTGGGCATCACGAGCCAACTAAAAAGAGATAGGCATCACGAACCAACTTGAAATGAGATGGCGAAGCAGATCCGCAACCCCAATAGGAGAGGGATGCGTGATGTGGCTACACGAGGGCGTGCGGAACCAGGCGCCGAAACCGTGCACCACCAAGCACATTGAGACCGCCTAGTCTAACCAACTCGTCTACAGCACTGGCCGCTACCACCTGCGGCGAAGGCGCTCTGTGTCCTCGCGCCGGCTGCGAAAGAGACTATCCAGAACCTTCTAAACCCTTTCCATGTTTACAAATCCGCCAGCCTCCTGGACCCACCAGGCGGCGATAAGCAGTCTACCGAGTCACGCACGGACGGCAAGAGATGTAGTAGACGACGATGGATGCAAGTCTGCATGTAGATGCGCCGTTGCGGAATCGCGTGAGTGAATACGGTTGCGGTCGTCAAGACCAATCTAGACATCACAATGGAACTGTGGGTATGCTTCTTGGCGCGGGCTGAATGAAGCAGGGACCAATTATTTTCACATGAGTTTTGGATGAGTCTGGCATGCTCGCCTTTTCGGTTTTCAGATCGTCCATGACAATACAATTGGCCCCTCAATCCCCCCAACACGGCCAACAAAACGCCCAAGAGGGCCTCAAGATGCCAAAAGAAAGTCCCTGAAGGGGCTCCAGACGGCCGAACATGCCCACAAGAAAAGAGACCCCCAGGACGGCCCAAGATGGCTCCAAGATGGCCGCAATATTGCCCAAGAGGCTCCAAAGGCGGCCCAGTGAGGCATCAAGACGACCTAAAGAGGCAGAGATGGTTAAATTCCCGTTGGGTCTGGCACGGATTTCCCATCCTTGCCTCTCCAGTCTTCAGGACACCCACGGGCTGACAAGACGCGCCCAGACGACCCCAAGAGGACTTACGTGAGGCCTTCAAGATGCAACAAACATTGATTGCGCTGAGGTGTGTGTGTGTGTGTATGTATGTGTGTGTGTGTGTGTGTGCGTGCGTGCGTGCGTGCGTGCGTGCGTGCGTGCGTGCGTGCGTGCGTGCGTGCGTGCGTGCGTGAGTGTGTGTGTGTGTGTGTATGTGTGTGTGTGTGTGTGCGTGTGTGTATGTGTGTGTGTGTGTGTGTGTGCGATTTCGGCATACTCGCATGGTCGACCTCCAGACTATTGCCTCACTTGCGCGTGCCGGCCTCCCCGTGAGGAGGCCCGCCGTTGCTCCCGCGGTGGGCCCAGTGAGCACGGCACAGACCAGGAATAGACTTGTGATGTTCCAACCTACTTTAGCCCTGACCACCACAAAGAATTTCGAGTACCAGAAAAATTCCCCCAAACTCGAGGGTTTTCATGTGTCGGGCCCTGGGAGACTCTGTTTCGACACTCTTTCGACACTCTTTCGACACTTTTCCAGGTGCTCGAAATTAGTTATGGAAAGTGGTTCTTACGCACGACGGGAGCAACATAAGCATAGACGGAGGAATCACGGGAGCGGGCCAGACCAAGACAATCCCGCGACGACTTGGGAACGGCACGGACTGCCATGACGAAACCGACGCCCCCTCCGGGACCCTTGCCTCCCTCTCCCTCCGCGCCTCCCTCTGACCCCCTCCCTCTGCGTGGGCCCTCACCTCGAGGGGAACGAAGAAGGCCATGAGCATAAAAACTCCAGAGGTCCGCGCGGGCTCCTCGGATCAGCGCTGGACCCCTCGGCGGCGCCTCCGGCGCCGCCCCTGGCGCGCTCCGGCGCCCCGCGCGCGCCGCGCTCCGAGCGCAGCCCTCGAAATTCCACGGCATAAGCCTTCCGGAGCGCTCCCTGGCGCGCGGAGCGCGCCAGGGGCGGCGCCGCAAGGGCCGCCGGGGGGGCTCCAGCGCCGCTCCGAGAAACCCGCGCGGAACTCCGAGTTTTCACGTTTATATCAGTCTTCGTCCCCCTGTCGGAGAATCGCGCCGCATCGCCAATGCATCGCCGATGTATCGGCGAGGCATCGGCCATGCATCGGCCATGCATCGCCGACGTCGGCGATGCATCGGCGACGTCGGCGCGGGGAAACACGGGCTGCATGTCGAGCCGCACTGTCGATGCATAGGCGATGCTGCCCGATCCTCCGACCCCATCTACTCGGACCTCATCTAAGAGGCCAAAACCAAAAACCTTCACACGGATCACGAAGGGGGGTCGCGATGGAGGGGGGGGAGCAGGGACCGACCGTCCCGGCATTTCTATAGGCCTACCACGACATGTTCTTAGAACCCAGAGATGTTCTAAGTACAGAAGCAGTGCTCTCAGAACATGGACCCGATGTGTTAAAACAAGACAGACTCGGCCAGACATGTTCTGAGAACATGTCGCGGAAACCAAATTATCCCGGCAAAGCAACCTAACAGCGATGTGTATAAGCATATCTGGAAGCATTCCCCTTAAGATTCAGGTGAGAATCCAGTTGTAGAATTCTGCTGTTCTCGCAGTCGCAGTCGCAGTCGCATTCGCAATGACAGTCGCAGTGGCAACGGCCTTAGGATCCAATGGAATCCTAAGGAGTCCTAGGGATTCCTAAGGCATCCTTAGGCATCCTTAGGAATCCATAGGAATCCTTAGGAATCCGTAGGAATCCTGATTCCTAGGGATTCCTAGGGATTCCGAAGGACTCCTGAGGAATCCTAAGGATTCCTGAGTATGCTTAACTATGCCTACGGATTCCTAAGGGTGCCTACGGATTCCTAGGGATTCCTAGGGAGTCCTAAGGATTCCTACGGATGCCTCAGCCTGCCTCAGTTTCAGCCTCAGCCTCAGCCTGCCTTGGCTTGCCTCAGCCTCAGCCTCAGCCTGCCTCGGCCTCAGCCTCAGCCTCAGCCTCAGCCTGCCTCGGCCTCAGCCTGCGTCAGCTTCAGCCTCAGCCTGCCCCAGCCTCAGCCTGCCCCAGCCTCAGCCTCAGCCTCAGCCTCAGCCTCAGCCTCAGCCTCAGTCTGCCTCGGCTTGCCTCAGCCTCAGCCTGCCTCGACCTCAGCCTGCCTCGGCCTCCCTCAGCCTCCCCTCCTCCCCCCCCCTTCCCCCCCATTCAGCCTCACCTTGTCTCAGCATCGGCCTGCCTCGGCCTGCATCAGCCTCAGCCCCAGCCTCAGCCCCAGCCTCAGCCTGCCTCAGCCTCAGTCTCAGCCTGCCTCAGCCTCAGCCTGCCTCGGCCTCAGCCTCAGCCTCAGCCTGCCTCGGCCTCAGCCTGCCTCGGCCTCAGCCTCAGCCTGCCTCAGCCTCAGCCTGCCTCGGCCTCAGCCTCAGCCTGCCTCGGCGTGCCTCAGCCTCAGCCTCAGCCTGCCTCGGCCTCAGCCTGCGTCGGCCTCAGCCTGCCTCAGCTCGGGCATTCAAAATATGGAACAGGACTTGTGTTCTGGGAACACGAAGAACACGAAGTGGCCCACAGCTGGCTCCGTGCAACCAAAATATGGTACAGGAATGGTGTTCTGGGAACACGAAGAACACGAAGTGGCCTACAGTTGGCTCCGGGCATTCAAAATGTGGCCTGGGAATGGTGTTCTGGGAACACGAAGATGACGAGGTGGCCTACAGCTGGCTTCGGGCATTCAAAATGTGGCCTCGGAATGGTATTCTGGGAACACGAAGAACACGAAGTGGCCTACAGTTGGCTCCGGGCATTCAAAATGTGGCCTGGGAATGGTGTTCTGGGAACACGAAGAACACGAAGTGGCCTACAGTTGGGTCCGGGCATTCAGAATGTGGCCTTGGAACGGTGTTCTGTTGGCTCCGGGCAGTCCAAATGTGGCCTGGGATAAAGTTCTGGAGAGTCCCCGGTTTTCCCCGGCATCCCCCGGATCCTGCCCAGACCCCCCTGGGGAATCAGGATGCTCTCTTTTGACCCCACTAGAAACCTATCAGTCTTCGCTGTTAGGTAAAACAGTTCGCAAAACTTTCTTTGATACACGTCGTTCACTTCTAACCGTGCTCATTTCGAATTGTGCTCTTTGCTGATTGTTCCCGGCCCCCCAGTGGCCAGGAAGAGGCCCAGGGTAGAACAATCAGAAATGAGGAAGGATTTTGGCCACCCAAAAAATCAAAGGACTCTCGAAGAATCAGAAACGAACCAGGTGTGGGCCGATGGGCGAGCCAGGACGCTTCGCCACTGCTTGAGGGGGGCGGCGCTCGGAGGCCACAGCAAGAGGCCGCGACGAGATGCCACGGCGGGGGGCCACGACGGGGCAACGGGCGTGGGGGCAAGCAGCGAGCAGAGGGGGCGACGGGCCCAGCATTCCTTGTGGCCTACCACGACATGCTCGTGGAACCAAAACAACTGCCCCAAGAACAGCAACATAAGTTCTTAAACCATAAACCCGATGTGCTAATTTTAGGTCGGGCGTGGCCTCCTACAGGGGGATTTTGGACGAACCATAAAAAAAGTAGTCAAATAATATGCTCAAATGGTCAAGAATAGTCAAAACGTCGTCCCCAGACTATTGGCTATTTTTGAGTATTCCTCCTGCAGAGGGACACGTCCCATTTTATACGAGTGAAAACAAGACAGTCTGAGCCAGACATGATCTGAGAACATCTCATGCAGACCACCAAAAAAGGTTCTTAGAACATTCTTTGGTGGGCCTCTAGGCAAGCCAGGACGCCTCGCCACTGCTCGAGGGGGGCGCTCGGAGGCCACGGAAGTAAGCCGCGGTGAGAGGCCACGATGGGGTGCCCCACGGGGGCCACGGGTTGGGGGAAGGCTGTGGGGGGTCGGCGGCGGTGGGGGGACGCCGACAATCACGACGACGACCACGACGACGAAAACGCCATCGACGACGACGCCAACGCAAACGCCGACGATCCGGACGACGACCACGACGACGAAAACGAAGACGCCGACGACGACGACCACGACGACGACGACGACGACGACGACCACGACGACGACGACGAATAACATGTGGTGGCCCCCCGTG